AGGCTAATTTAGTAATTTTTTGACTATTTGGCTAAAATATGAGCTAAAAAAAACTAGTATGTTTGTGATGACTTTTTGACTTTTTACGAAAAGATGTGCAAAAAGTAGAAAGAAAAGAGAATCTTTGACTTTTTGGTATGAGTTGTTGACTTTTTGACTTATTTAGTAACTTTTGACTTTTTGACTAAAGGGAGGGTTCCCAAATGAGACCCTAAGTCTTAGATCAAAAAGACTTGTGGCATCCAATGTTGACTTTGGCCACAGGGGCTGTTTTGTTGAGGGGGGGAAAAAAAGTTGGTTTAATTAAATTAACCTTCTTTAACAATTGCTCATCAAATAATTGCAATTGTTGTTAATGATGAAACAGATTGTTGTTGTTATTGATGATAATGACTACGACAGATATAACAGAAAAAAAAAAAAAAAAGATATGTTCAAGGGGAATTGTGCTCTCAGATTAATGGGTGTTGTGGGGAATATTTTTCTATTAATTTTTTCCCCATAATCAGCTTTAGCTCTTTTGATGAGAAATTGTTCTCTTCGCCAAATGCCACCTCTACATAAGATTAATAGCTATCAAAGTTTACAATGATTGTATAATGCTTGAGAAAATCAGGCATTAAGCCCTCTCACCTTTTACGTAGAAGCTTAAAGATTATGATAAGACATGGAGGACCTGTTTGGTAGAGTTATGAGAAAGTGCTTATAACTTATACTTTAACAGCTTATAGTTTATAGTTTATAACTATGAACATAAGCTGATTTCTGACTTATAAATTAAGCTTCTCCTACCCCACTCAAAGAATAAGCTGATTTCTGACTTACAAAAAGCCATAAGCTGCATTGTTAAGCTAAACCAAACACATCAAAATAACTTAAATTAAGCTGAAAGCTGAAATAAGCTGAAAAAAAGCTGTGCCAAACAGGGCCGTAGTAGGTAAGATCTCTCAATATTTTGAATGTAGTTGTTTAAATCCTTTTTGCTTCCCTTTTTTTTTTTGGTTCTATTTTTGCCCTTCATTCAAAATTGCTCAAAGAAATTTTAAATTGCTTATTTTCTCTCAGAAAAATTTCAAAATTGCTTAGAGAAATTTTAGAATTGTTTATTTTCTCTCACATAAATTTCAAAATTGCTTATTTTCCTTTAGATAAATTTTAAAATTGCTTATTTTCTCTTAGAGAAATTTCAAAAATTTTACTAACTGAAGATAGCTAACTCAATGAAATTTTGTCAAATTTTTTTCTCCTAAAATTTCATATTCATCATGAATCTTATTTGATAGATCTCGAAGAGAACAATCTAAAAATAAAAATTTTATTGAAAATGGATATCTAAATCAAAAGTTCCTGAATTTTTAAATTTTTAAATTTTTTAAAAAGTGAAAGACGTTGAGCAGTATTGCTTATGAGCAACTTTAAAATAAAAAACCCATAATACTTATGTCACATATTTTTATAAAGAATGTAGTAGTGAAAATGGGTGCCCGTTACAAATTGTATAAAATTATAAATTTATTTGTGAGATTTGAAATCATTGAATGGTTTTGTAGGTTTTTTTTTTAAAAAAAAAAGAAAAAAAGAAAAAAAAGTAGATCTTACCACAAGATCAACCCCATCTGGAGCATAATGCCATGATCCCTCGGACTTAATTACAACAAACGATAAATGAATGGTGTCCCCATCGTAATCCACATTGTGCGAGAAACATTCCTCCCTATCTATCACAAATCTGATCCCAATCACCCCTCGAATGCTCCATAAAATTGCCAGTGTTGCAACCATGGCGAATTCAGGGGACCGTGTTTTCATCTGAATTAAAATTCAAATGTGCATGAAATCATTATTCATCACAATGCAAAACTACTTTCACAAATTGACAGGGTAAAAAAAAATGGAAAGAAAATTTCGCAATCACCCTGTTTGTTTCCGGAGAAAAAAGAAAAAAAGAAAAAGAACTTTTCTGAAATTCGACAGAAAAGAAAATGGAATTTGAAATCATGAAAAAAAGGAATTGCGAGAATTCGGAGGGGGGAGAAGAGAGAATTTACCATTTTTGTATTGACAGAATCTGAGGAAGCGAAGCTGATCTATATAGATATTATATAGATGTATGTAATAGAATGGATTAGTTATGGCTATGTAGAGAAGAAGGTATTATTGAAGTAATAGTTGGAGAGCGAACAACGAAGACGAACTGTGTTTAATCTGTTCCTAACTGTGAGATTCGACCCTTTGAGATATTTGCCTTCAAAATGTGTTTGTCTTTTTGTTGAAAAAACATATATATATATATATATATATATAATACTATGACATCATCCCTCTACCCCATATTCAATTGCCGCCTTAGAGCAGATAAGAGCAGAACCAATGTACCAAGACATACCCATTTTCAAATCAAACCACAAGCATACAAACTTATGTATATAATAACACAACCAAAAATATGTATATACACAATGAATTGAAGTACCAACCACAAAGAACGGCTCAGATAGGTATCTACGGATCCAAATACTCTTCATTCTCTTCGTCGAAAATAGCTGGTTTTGCTATGATTTTTGAATTGCCTGTAAAAGACCTGAAAATGGACTGTTGTATTGGATTACATTGTGTTTGGGTGCTCAGAAAACAGAGGAAAAGCAAACAAAATCCCAAAAGTTAACTTAGCCCAAATTGTGAACTTTTCTGGGCAACCGAACAGAGTTCAAATTAGAACATATCAAATAATAGCTTACCGGATTGAAGGTGTGACAAAACCAGACCCATTGAATATCAATAGGAGGAAGAATCATTGGGGGATGATGAGTTGATGTTGATCCAACCGTAAGATCAGAAATCAATGGCATCTAAAGCTCATCATACCTGAATAAAACCAATCAATCACAAAATCATCAAACTCAATTCGACATTAACTACGCTCTAATCAGATTACTTACAATAAGACTTTCATTGACCCACACACACCAAAAAAAATAAGCGTTATGACCTTCGTACAGATTTCGAGAGTAGTGGGTCTGGTGTGGAGCCAATGAGACTCGTCCACGATTCTGAGAAACCGAAGAGTACGCCTGGCGGCGGACACAAGATTAACGGTTAGGGTTGAGGCTTCGGGTTGAGCCGATGTCGGAGATACCAACACTTCCACTACTGCGTCGCGATTCTCAATCGGAACCCTACCTTGGGCGCAGCGAGCACTGAGAGAGAAGGGGGGAGAGGGGGGAGGCAGAAATCGAGGCCGAGTTGGAGAGGGAGGGTAGGAAATAAGAATAGAGAAGGAGGGAGAGAGAGAGAGAGATAAAGAGGGAATGAGGGAGGAGACGTGGGTGGGTGGGAGAGGGAGAGAGCACGGGTTTGGGCGGGAACAAATCATCATCCGAGCCATTGATGTTTATCAAAATTGATCTCAGCCTTTGAATCTAAATGTATCTCACATATATTTTATATATTTTCAAAAACCTTCCTCCCTTATTATATAGATATTATAATTATTTTATTTCTAAATTACTTTTTTTTTTCTATCAACTCTCTCTCTCTCTCTCTCTCTAGTCTCTTTCCACCTTATTCTCTCTCTCTCTCTCTGCAAATCCATTTCTAACCTATACATACACACACATTACATATATATATATTCTCTCTCTCTCTCTCTCTCTCTCTCTCTTTCTAATTATTTTATGAGTGAAGATTACACTTTCATAACAGGTTGTATTATGGTGACGGGATTGAACAAATCTGGAGGAGGAAATAGTAAATGCGACGACGGATTTGAGAGAGATAGTGGAGAAGAGTGGCAGATTTGAAGAAATGGAGATGTGGGAGTAACGAATTCGAGTGAAACGGTGAGGGCAACGACAGATCTGAGGGCAGAGGACGATGGATTTGAGCAATACCCTTCACTGTTCCACCACCACCATCTTCTACTGAGCTCGGCGTGGCTATCCATTTACCGTTGAGTCTCTCTTTTTTATCTGCTAGAGTTGTGCGTTTCCAGGAGAGTTTCCGGTAAAGAATGGCAAGGAAGAAGAGATAGGAGATGGTAAGGGCTCCGGCGAGGATGGGTGGGATGAGGTTGAAATATGGATGTGGATTATGTGGGGGGAGGTCGGTGGGTGGTTTCGACGGTTGTGGCACCGGAAAATCTGGGAATGGTGGTGGTGGTGGTGGGCGTGAAGGCATTGTTGGACAAAAATGGAGAAAACAAAGAGAGAATATATATATATATATATATGTATGTAATGTGTGTATATGTATAGGTTAAAAATGGATTTACACAGAGAGAGAACAAGGTGGAAAGAGACTAGAGAGAGAGAACAAAGAGAGAGAGCTGATATAAAAGAAAAAAAAAAGTAATTTTTTTGAGTATCAACATTAAATTTTCACAGCATTCTTGTAAGCCAATCCATGCAGCACATGAGAATCCGCATTTTCTAGAATCAAGCTATCCTCCTTTCCCTAGAGTTGCACTGCTACTCTGTGAAGACCATGGATGGACCAACACAAATATATATAAAATCATTATAATAATTATGGGCGAATCAAAAAGTGATACATGTATCAAATAAACATAAACAAACGGAAACAAACGAAGGGTCAACGTTGGGACACGGTTAAAAATTCAAAGTTTAAATTGTTAAAATTAAAATGTTGGGGTTTAATGTTAAAAACACGCTAAACCTTGGTTTTTTTTTTTTTTTTTTTTTGCCCAAAAAAAAAAATAAGAGTTGTCCTTTCATGCCTTAGTCTTTAGGCTAATTAGCATGCATGTTTGTATGTGTATTTCATGTCTTTGTTTCATCACTTTGGCCACTGATTTGGGCCTATTTGAGAGCTGTCCATTTTGGTTTAAGTCCATCCTTTGCATGTTGTTACATGCTCGCCTTGTATGTCGTTGCATACTTTGCTCATCACATGTCGTTGCATGCTTAAGTTGCATTTTGCATCCTTGTCAACACTAGGTGATCATCCATGTTCGTGTTCGTCTTGAGTTCTCGGAGGTTTCGGTCGCGTGCCTTGCCTCAAGACCTCTCGACTTGTTTGTTTTGTGCTTGAGTGTGATTGTTACAAAGTTGGGTCTAAATGGCATTCACTCAAAATTTTAACCAGGGTACGCCATGCATGACAACAACCAGCTACATTTGTGCTGGGTCTTTGGTCGGGCCTAATGGTCTAGGTTTTGGTAGCTATCGGGTTGGACTTATGGGCCAGTCCATGGCATACCCTTTTGTCCAAGCCCAGCTCATATTTTAAGGACTAGGGGCCAAGGCCAGCTCGAGGCTCAGACTGTGGGCTAGAACTTTTTGATGAGTCCTCGTAATGCACAAACTAATAAAAAGAGTACATTTTTATATGAAAATACTCATGAATTTACTTTCATGTACCGTTGTGTCCTGCCTACACTTACTGAATTTGCCATGTTGGCATTTTCATTTTGTCTTCTTGTTTCGGTTTAAGCTACTCAGAGTTGATACAACAAGAAGACAAAAGCTATGATCTCAGCCACTTGGGCTTAGCTTAAATGAACTGGTCTAAATCATAAAGTGCATTTATTAATGAATCCAATAGCATATAGGTGTCGACTAATTTCTCACTGTGCTTAATTAAAATAATGATGTCCATTATAAACTGATAAATGATAAAGAACACATAATAAGTTTTTCTAGAACTTTGTTAACAAATTCCTGCCTTTGGCATCAGCATAAACTCTGTTGAGCCATAGTTTTTCAATAAATTTTAAAATAAAAAGCCGGAAATTAGAAATAAAACTCACTGGATTATCAGCAACCTTGCTTCTCTTGCCTGAAGCTCAGCCTTTTCTCCATTCATACAATGCATGTATTAACACTAGTATATTATCATCAGTGTGAAGTTCCTGCCTTGTGGTGCTTCAAGGCAATAGCCAGCAACTCTCCTGAATAGAAGATTGAGAACCTTTCTTGATAGCCTTTTCATGTTGGCAACCATCATTCAATTCATAAACCCTTCTTCGGATATCCTCAGGTCTTCCAGTGAATCTTTCTAGAAACCCATTTGGTGGTGTGTGCTCATTATCATTATTTTTCGCACCTTCCCCAACGCATGGTGGAATATGGGCTAGTCATCAGGCTTGCTTTACAGCTTTCTCTTTTTAGTTAATCTTCACAGCTTTGAGAGCAGACATGTACTCTGTTAATGGCCATGGAATGGTTTTTTCATGAGAATGAGCAATGAAATGGGGGAATGTAACTTGACATACTATGCTCATTTCATGGCGGTGACACAAACTCCTGTTTGTTTGTGTTCTACCATTCCCAGCCACCGTATTTTGATCGATTCAGAGATTTCAAGTGCTTTGTTCAGGTGATGATCTAATTCGATTCTTCTGCCTCTATGCACGAACTTCCTTGCATAAATCCTCCGAAGGTCCATTGGTTTTCCTTCAATTTGTCCAACTTCCGTCCAGAAATTGCTTTTTGGATAAACATAGAAACACCGACACAGCTGTGGAGAAGTTCATTCGGCACAAAGTCCTCTTCAAATTCAGGAAGAAATTTGTATGCAGTGATCATCAGAGCTTCTCCACTATGTCCATAAGAATAAAGAAATCTCTTGACTGAATCTAACACCATGTCCAAGGATGAGGACTTGCCAAAGAGGATGACTCTGGTACTGGTTTTCAAATTCGCGTGACTTCCGACTTGCACGCGTGGTAGTTTATTAAAACTACCCTGGAGAAGTACAAACGGAAAAAATAAATAAAACTCAAGTAAACAAGGCACACCTAGATAATATGGATGCTTTTGGTACATACAA